CTCGCGCTCCTCGCAGGTGCCGCGGCTGCCCCTCCCGCCCTGTCCCCTGGCTCCAGCGCGACACGTAGCTTTGGCCAATTTTTTTCTCGGTTTTTCTCTCCACCACCAGCCCCTCACGGTTGTTTTCATTATAACAATGCCTAGTATATTTCCCCAGGCGCGTTTAAAAACAACGGTCAGTGCTGAGAATGAGTCAACCTGAGAAATTGTTTACTGAGCTGCTCTTCCCCACGCCTGTCCCACCTGGCCGCGGCGGGAATGGCGGGGTGTGGGGAGGGGGAATGAGACAGCCTTTGATTTGTACCTTATTTAAAAAACACTAACGAACTTGTTACTGTGGGGTGGGTCCAGAGAGGGCAATTGACAACTGTAAGCAAGCAGCTCGGTAAGGGTGGGGGTTTTTAGAGGAAAGGTAAATAGTTATGACTCTTTGCAAGGGTCAAAACAAAAAACCAGTGGACATTGAGATCTACAAAAAACCATTCACTGCAAAAAGTGTATTCAAAAGCATGCATTTAAGAATTCCTCAAAGTCGTTCAATCCTATTCTGCATTCCACAAACTTATTATTTCTACTACTACCACTATTTTGCTAAACATAAATTAGACCTGGTTCTTTGCTTCTCAGAAAACTGCAATCCAGTAATCCTAGAGAAACAGGTAAATCAGTGTGGTCTCCACTGATTAAGCAAAAGTTTAACATCCCAAAGAGAATCAGTAAAGAGCAACTTTCAATCTTGTGTAGTACTTATTAGAAAGAGGAAAAGGTGTTATAATTACATCATCTTTGTTTCTGTAGCAGTGAGAGCAGTGATGGCTAGGGAGTTGACAGCAGTGGAAGGGAAGGGGAAATTAATGCAAAGCACTTTATCTCCAATTGACAGGAGTCATCTTCCTTAGTACCAGAGTGATAGATTATGAAGATGGCTTGAGTGGCAAACCAATGAACGCAACGACCACTAGTCCAGCAGCCATACATGTGTTCAAAGATCCATTTCAAATTTAAAATACACCAAGAAGTAGACCAGGCCAGCTTTTTAAAATATCTTATTTATATATAATTGAACTTATGTAGAGCAGACATAACATTTAAAAATTACTACTTTTAGTATCATAGCAGGAGCAATACATTTTCTGAAACAGCTTTCAATGACTGCATTTTAAGGCAAAGATAAACATGACAACTTCCAAGTTGGGTCAACTTCAATAAGTCATAACAATCACAATGAGCATGGAAAACAAATCAGGTCAAATGACTTTATAAGTGAAGTGTTTAACACTTCAGATCATCATCTCAGAGATAAAACAGATCAATACATGAAGTCTCCTATTTCTAGTGTATTTAAAATATATTGCAATATATATATTTCCATATATACTACAATACATACAATATGATTTGGTATTCTATTTTGCATGTGAACCTATTTTAAATATATTTTTAAAGAATAACACTTCATGAAGTCCAGGGAGCTTAAATGTGACTGGTGATCAGCACTGTAAGTGGGGTTAATTAGCATTCCTTGAGGAAATAGCTTGAGGATGGATATTATAAGGACTTATATTAGCAATGGAGGGAGGAGGAGGTCATGAATATGCTATAGAGCAGTACCTGAAGAGAGATGTGGAGGTGGGCTGCCACAAGCGAAAGTGCAAATGGTGGACTTGGAGGTAGGGGACAGAATTACAACCTTTGTAAGGAAATC